AGATTTACCTACTGTGTATTTATTCACTTTCTTAACACACATGCAATCTTTCTGAGTTGTTGGGATGGAGACATGAGGAGAAGCATCCATTTTTCGCATAGTCCTGTGTGCCATCTTGTTTAACTAACTGCACGGATAAGGGCACCAACATGTTCGGATGGCTGGAAGCTGGGATGCTGATCAATCTGGGCAGGTTGATTAAAGTGGACAAAGGCATAACGTCTGTCTGCAGAGGCTGACGCACGTGAGTTCAGATAACGCAGAGGTATTACTGCCACCTGTAGTGAAAAGCCAGCTTGCTGAGTCTGCGCTCATTTGTTTTGAGCTACTTGGCTGACGCAAGTAATAGGGGAAGGGTACATTTTAGGAAATGTTTCTTCATAGATATAGAAATGAAATATGGAATGACAAAGTATCTCTGGCTTATTTGTTTGAGTTAGATTTCAGCTGAGTGAATGGTTTGCCAAGGTTGATAAGAATGACTTCATCAAAATGATGTCCTTTTCACATTTGAAAAATATGTAAAAATACATAGGGTTTAAATTTTCAGTGTTTAAATATTTTGTATTACTTTTATTAATGATTTTCTTACTGCATATATACAAACAGGAGGCTAAAGCCATACCATAAAAGTTTTAGTGTTCAGGGAAATTAGTAAATTTGTTTTATCCTAACAATGTGTATATCTTTAATCTTAAAACGCTAGCTTTTATGTAAAAGAAATACTTACTGAAACCCTATCCAAGGCTTGTTTTCCCATCTAATGAAAAGAAAAGGAGTTTTTTAGGCTTTGCTTGTAAGAAGGGGTCAGTATTATTGTTTTACATCTTAAATAGAAAACATTACTGAGTAATGAATCTTATTCATTGAGAATTACTTGACTCTGTCTTTACTGCTTTAAGCTATAGTACCTCAGGGTACTATAGTACCTTTAGTTCTGAAAGCCCAGACGAGGTGGTTCAGGCTGCCCATGTTATAACTGTCATGGTATATTTCATATTTGCTTTCACTGATTCTCACTTGATTTATTGTACTCCACTGATAGCAGCATACTGCCTCTAATTTAGTATCTCAAAATATTTTCAGCAGTTTTATTGGGATGTCTTTTATATTCAGAATCACAGAAAGGAATATTAGTGTGGTAGACCCAAAATGCTTTTAAATTCATTCATCTACCCAAAATTGATATTAAACAATTATTTTTGAAGTTCTTATAAAGTACTACTTGAAAACTAATTTTACAAGGTTGTTCAAATCCATTTAAATTTCAGGGCAATATATATTTTTTAATAGAACCAATACATGAGGCTATTTCAGTGTACTTTGAAAAATCCATTCTTAAGTAATAAGGGTAGGTAAGCTTTGCATGATTTGACTTTTCCAGGGCAATTCTCAGCAGTCTGTTAACTTTCTTATGTGACTGTACGCACTGCCAGCCTGTTATCCTCTGATCTGTGCTGTGTCCATGACTTGTCTTTCAGCGTGGTGTTTGAGAGAGAGGAATCGTGACCAAATGGAATAGTATACTCCAGAAGAACATGAAGTTGAAATGCAAACTATGTCCTAACCATCCCTTCCCCAGCTACTTACTGTTACACTGGTTTTCAGGCTCCCATGAAATGCAGTGAATTAAAACAAAACAAACAAACAAACAAAACCCACAACATTTTGGAGATTTCCGTTTGCCTGTATATGATCAAAATGCCATGTGAGTGAATAAAAGTGAAACGTGTTGAGCTGCCAATAGACTTCTATGAAGGAGGGAAGTATAATTATGTCTTGGTAATGTTCATGCATTCCTAGCTTGGTAAAATATGAGTTGTTTTAAATTAAACAATCAAAACACCATTGAACGCATCAGTGAAAGAAGGGAAATAAAATGTCAAATTCAAGGCATGCTAGACTGAATACGGAAGAGGGGGAGAGATGTTTGTCAGCTGTTGCAGATGGATGTGGGTCTGGGGACAGCTCTGGAGGCTGCGTGAGAAGCAGGGCTTCCTTGCAGTGGTGAGGCCTGGGGGCAAATATGCATTTGTATAGGTGCTTCATGTTCCTTTTTCCTGGCTAAAAATTACTTAGGCTGAAGAAAGCTGGCTGATCATTGGGTTCTACAGGTCCTGAAAAATAAAAATGTTGATGTTAAATGGCAGCCTGGATTGCCAAGGCTGCTACAGGTGGTATTGATATCCGTGGCATATCTGAGCAAGGCAAAGGCCACGATGCCTGTCAGGGCAGTCGAGGACAACTTGTACAGTGTGTGGTCACCCTAGTTTCAAAAATCATCTTATGTTCTAGTTACAGAATTTCTTCTCATGGCAGTACTTTCCTTCTCTGCCCTATGGATTATTTTTGCGTTCTGCAGAAATGGGGCTAAATAGCCCTGGAAGCCCTTATTCTGTATAGGAAGAGGAAAGGACTGATGTGACTGAAACTTTCCCCTTTTGTCATTTTTTAAAGGAAGAGACACTTCCTGTTTGATTTTTGAACTTTTTTTTTTTCTTTTTGTTAAATTTCTCAGCAGTAAAGCCAAGAAATGATTGACGTCTATGGGAAATGACTATAATTGAAGATAATAAAAACAAGCTACGTCTTCTATGAGGATCTTCCCCACTTCTGGATTTCCCAGAATATTCTCTTTTTCTCTGGGAACCTTTTTGGGCCAGAGATGTTTTTATGTAGTGATATTGACAGACAAATTGGTAGTTCTAGTAAAGGAAGAATAAAAATAGGCAGGCTAGTCATGTTACTGAGGCACACTAGTAAAATAAATGCCCAGCAACAGTAAATGGCAGTGCTATGGAGGTACTGCCATTCAGACTTCCTATGCTATTTTCAGGCTGAACAACTTTTGAGGACATTACCTGCAGTGATCATTTATTACTGTTTTTTCCAGGAGCTGCGAAACGAAGTAGAGATGACCCACATCTGGAAATTACTTAGATCAGCTTGCTCATAAATCTTGGATATGAGAGCTAGTTGGTCTTCCCACTTGTGAAATGTTCTGAGATCTGCAGGGCACTCTGCTCTGATTCAGAGTTGATTGGGATAATATTGGATGGGTGTTTGGCATCCAGACAGCAAAAATAACTTTAACAAAATTATAGCATAGCTTTTGAAATATTTGGAATTAAATTTTAATTGCCGAGCTAGCTGCGGTAACATTCTTCTCGTCTTCTGTAGGAATGGCAATACTAAGAAAGTCCATACAAGTCCCAAGAAATGAAAGCTAGAAATTTCTAGGAAATTAATTTATAGACAAGAAGCAGTACATGTGTCTTAAAAGATCACAGGGATCTGTTTCAAACACAGATTTGTAAGAAATAAGTCAAAGTCATAGAAGTTCAAAATCACTAATTTCAGAAAAAGCACTTTCCCTCAAAAACGACAATTTTTAAGGTGCTTCAAAGTTTCCTCTGTCTTGTTTAGAAAATTGTGGAGTGTCCTGAAATTGTGATAGCCCTTTGTACATGTGATGATGACTTGCATAGCCTCACTGACACTACCAATGTTCTAATATCATTGGATGTTTTTTTTTTTTAAAAAAAAAAAACACAAACAACTTACCTTAATTACCTTTTAATGTTCCTGTTGGGGTGAGAGAGAGAGAAATGCAGATGGAGAGCCAAAAACTAATTCCTCATCTGTCAAACACCAAGGCAAAGTAACCCTTGAAGTATGAAACTCACCATGTAGAGCACACGGACAATGCATGAGCAGTGACAGTGCTATGCTGGGTGATGTGTGAAGATGAAAAACACATACATGAAAGATTTGTTAAATGTGCCTTCCTGTATCATAAATACAGCTGTGGGTAGTGGTTCTGCTTCTATCATCCGTTTCTGAACCCTCCTGTTAGCTTCCCTTTCTCCAGTTTATTAAGTTACAGCTATTGAAACTAGGAGTTTTCGGAGTAATAATTTTTCCTAACTATTAATTCAGTAATCTTTCTTTTATTAGTTACTTGTTTAGTGGTTAGCAAGCTATTGTTTAATTTACTCCATAGCCACTGATGTGCTCCTTGCTCAATTTTTTTTCCATCCAGTTTGAAGTCTTGGCATATTCATGCACAATGCACTCTTGTGGAAACCTGCTGTCCATCTCCCAGTGCTCTAAAAGGAAAATCTAATAGCATCACTAGGTTCTCTTGTTGGTCATCTGAGAGAGTATGGTACTTCTAGCAAATACTTTTACATATATCTCATAGAAGAAATTTTAATGGTGTTTCGTCTCTCTCCTCCTCCTTGTTTTTAATTTAATGAAATGAACAATTTCATATTTACCTATTAGTTGATGCATATTTGAAATCTGAAACTGTCATAGCACAGAAATACGTCAGAGTTAAAATGCCTTTTTGCACTCTTACAGGGCGGATACAAAACAGAATATTTGATTTTGTCTTGTGCCTTCAACAGCAGAAACAGCCTTTTTTTTTTTTTTTTTTCCTCTTGCCTTGGAGATGAACCAAATTATTTAGGAAATGTGGTCTTATCTTACAAAAGGCTGGTTAGACTGGGCTCTGCTTATGGGGATTGTTGGGAGTATACTCTCGATAAATGCCTTTGTACAGCCATGTACATTTGAGTATGGACAGATCATTTTGACTGTCTGGATTAAAAAACAAACAGTTGAAGGAACACTTCTGTACTGTAAGCTTTCTTAATGCTTGTAAGTTATTTTTTATACCTCCTGTATAAACATGGCTATCCATGTTTATCGGTATCTACATCAGAACAAATTATTTTCCTTGAAGTGCTAATAAGAATATTGTACATTACTTAAACTGTTCTTATCTTGCATTTTGTTTCTCCCTGTCTTCCTCTGAGCAGTTACAAATTAAAGTATTCTGATCTGTAATGGATGTTTATGATTGCTACACTTAAAAAGCCCATCTAAAGAGCCATGTGCTTAATTGAAGAGGATTTGTTTATAACTTGAGTATTTCTGGGGCTAGGTTTTCCACTTAGAACCAGTGTATTAAAGAAATTGTTCTTGTTTTATAGGTAAAGATAGAGTTTTCAATACGCCCTTGTGTGAGCAAGGAATTGTTGGATTTGGTATTGGAGTTGCTGTTGCAGGTGCTACGGCCATCGCAGAAATTCAGTTTGCAGATTATATTTTTCCAGCATTTGATCAGGTTAGTACTTAGAGATTTGAATGAAGTAAAATGAAATGTTGTGGCTTTATGTTTAAATTATTCTTCTGTTCACATTAATATTGTTTTATATTTTATATTTTTTTGTATTTTATATATTTGCAAAAATATCCACAGATGTATTACTAATATTTATGCATACTTTAAATAAACTGGAAAATACCAGGGCCAGGTTGAAGTCCTGATTAACTAATGTAAATTAAAGATGTGGTTTGAAACAAATATCTGTCTTTGATTTTATTATTGGTTTTGTGGCCACGTTGGCTTAAGCAGCTTTAAATTCCCCAGCTGTGTCTTCCCCACACCATCTCTCACTTCTCTGTGTGATTGCAGCCAACCACGTGGCCACATGATAAACCACAAGTTTAAATGGGGCTGATGGACTGTCTGGGAATGGGGAAATAATGGGGCTATATGGCTACCCTTGAGGCCTGGGCATTTAGCTTGAACATGCTAAATTACTGGATTGCTTGCCTTGGAAAATGTTTGCCTTTCTACTGACTTAGAGGAATCTTTTGCTTCTAATTTGGTTCTGTGAATTGGAGCATGGAGATGATGATGTATTTACATCTCCTGCATTGTAGATGTTTAATGATATGCAACTAAGGGTATTGGATGCTACTTTTGTAAATGGAAGGGATTTTGTTTTGTTTTCCTTTCCAGATTGTTAACGAAGCAGCAAAATACCGTTACCGCTCGGGAGATCTGTTTAATTGTGGCAGCCTCACCATCAGAGCCCCCTGGGGTTGTGTGGGTCACGGTGCACTGTATCACTCTCAGAGTCCAGAAGCTTTTTTTGCTCATTGTCCAGGAATAAAGGTACGGTAATTCACATTTGACAAAGATTGATTTTGAATGAATCAGAGTAACCAGACTAATGAGTCTGAGTGCAGGCAGGCAAAGGAGGATGGAAGTAAAAAGACACAGCAAAAAATCTGAATATGTTAATTAAGTACTGTTAGAAGTTTGCTATTTATAAAGCTTCAACTGTATTAAGAGTTTGAGAATTTGTAACCATAATAGAAACAAACTTCAGCAGACGTAGCATTTTGTGTGTGTGCTTTTTGCGCCAAAAGCATACGTTCTGCATTTGTTTGGTGTCTAGCATAGTACAGAAATTAAAAACTAACAAATAGGGCTTTCCTTTTTGTTTTTTTTTTTTTTCCTCTCTCTGCATCTGTCATTGAAGCGCATTATAAAATTGATTCATATGAATGACAGTGACAGGACAAGAGATATTTAGTGCAAACTGAAACACAGGAGGTTCCCTCTGAGTGTCAGGAAACACTTCACTGTGTGGGTTTGGCTTAGGTTGCTCAGAGAGTTGGTAGAGTCTCCCTGCTTGGGGACATTCAAAAGGCACTTGGTCCTGGGCAGCCTGCTCTGGTGGTCCTGCTGGAGCAGATGGCCTCGAGAGGGCCCTGCCCACCTCAGCCATTCTATGACTCTGCAGATGATAAATTGGGGCAAGCTTTCAACATGAGAAAGTGGCGTATCTTGAATGTTGATTTTTCTAGCATTTTGATAGATAAGTTTCCTGGTGAAGATAGAGGGGACGGGTCTGTTAATCTCTGATTAATCAAGCACTGTTTGCCAGTTCTCATTTTCTTCTGAGTAAATTTGGTGTCTATGGACTTGTACTTTTGGATTAACTGGCATCCAGTCCATTAAGAAATGACTCACAGCTTGATTAATGTGAAGGTCTTAAGCAAAGTATTTGTATTTGTATGCTGGAAACACATATTCATTGTTTATATTTTGTTTAAACTTTTGCCTTAATATTATTTCTGTGTTCCAAAATGACAGATATGACTTTTTTTTTTTTTTTTAATCAGGAGGCCATTTCTACTTGCTTCTCTTTAATTAAATAAGAGTTTGTATTATTCATATTTTATGGCATGTTATTCACGTTTTGTTTCATGATATTTGGGAAAAGGAATACATCTTTTTTCTTTGAGGTGTTTGTATACTAAACTTGAAAATTTTTCCCTATATAGACAAAAGTAAACTACAAAGTCTCTTTCCAGGTAATTGAATCAAAGGGTTTCTCAAGCTTGTTCAAAAACTAGAGTAGTTTATTATGGCACAGAAGAAGAATGTAGACCTGGCATCAGTATCTTAATCTTAGAAAGTGTCTAATATATGTTGGTCTTTGTTGGTCAATCTCAAATCTTCATATTGAACAAAGTGCTTAGGTTTTGTAGTCTTTTGATTAAAACCCCTTTCAAGTTCAGTGCAATCTAATACTACTGTGTTTATTCTTCTGAATAATAATTTCATTCTCTTCTCTCATCTTTGATCTTCCTTCTTTTTCTTTTCTTCATTTTCTTCTTTAAGTGTAAATGTATGTAAGGAAAATACCCTTCCAGATCAACATCATAAACTGTATATCATAACTATACCAAGGATGAGGTAAATTCATGTAAATATGCTGCTGTGTGGCTTGCAAATACTACTGAGAAGAAATGATGGGGAGTGGGGTTGGGAAGTAGCCACAGGAAATGAGGGGAATTCAGAGTTGCTGAAGAGTCTGAAGGAGCCCAGGGCAGAAGTTCCTTGGGTAATGTGCTAAAATACATTGTGGCCATCTCAGTTAAAGGGCATACTAAATTCTGTGGAATTGGTGGAACAATATATGAATTTTGGATGCACACAGAAGTGTACTAGACACTTGAATTTTGTATCTTTGTGAAAACAATGTTGCTTTTTTTTTTTTTTTGTAAAGCTGTTCATTAATGCAGTTAATGTTTGAAACGGGTACAGCTTCTTTGCTGAAATTGCAACCTATCTCTATTTCATATAAATGTGCTAGTAGTATAATATCAATATTACTCAGTGAAAGCTTTTAGCATCAAAGGTTCAGGCTTTTTTTTTTTATTTTTTATTTTTTAATGAACAAAAATCCAGCCCTTAATGTATAAATCCAGCAATGCAAACGAAACTTTGGTCCAGATGTACTTGCAGAAGTCCTGTGTCTGTGCACATTTTGTCAAAATCACAGGAAGAAAGGCCACGTATTACAAGCTGGGGAGGATAGGAGATACCTGTTGGGAGGATGGTTTCCAAAACTACCCACTTACTAAGCTCAGGAGTTGATTACTGACTGAAGATTTTTATACTCTGTTTTTTTTAAGTGAAAGCTGAGATTTAGTTTTCCTAAGCAAAAGAGGGTTTGTATGTCTTGGGCTGTTCAAGAGAAGGACTGTAATCATTAGTGCTTACGACAAGGCTTGTTGAAGTGAGGAGGACATTGTTAGATCATTGTATCTTGTCTACTGTTGTAAGGAGGTACATGTATGTCTTAATGCATACAACTGTCTTAAATTATTGTAATGACTTTCTTTTCCATTGGAAGACTGCACCAGGATCTTTGCCATCACAGCTAGAAGCTTTCTTTTTTGGTTCCAGCCTAAATTTCTTCTTAACTTGTATCCCTAACTTATCTGTCCTTCATCTTCTCTTTCATGTGCTAAGAGCAATTGTTTTCTCTTTAGTCATTGTTTCTTTTTAGACTAAACAAATCACACTATCAAAGAGACTTTAAACAATTTCCGAAGGTTTTTTGGCATCTGTTTTGATTCATTTTCTTTCAAAACTGTTGATGTAGTCATGAAGTATTCCAACTGACTTTCTAGCAGCAATTTTTGCAATAGCACTAACACTTTCTTGACTACAAGATCGTCTTTTAAGACTGTACTGCATAGTGTCCTACTTATCTTTTGAGCAAATAATACATTCAGATCCTTCTCTGAATTTCTATTGCTGAGTTCTAAATTTATAACAAAAAATTTAGTCGGTAGATGTGCATCTTATTGTTATGTGAACTGGTGCTTTTGACATCATTCTCTGTATTGGTGGTGACAGCGCGTTCAAATAGATTTCATTTCCATGCTCTGGCTTAATTTCACAAATGAATACAGTAAATAAAGTCTGTCCTAAAAATGATCCTGAAGGAACTGTGCTGGAGACATCCGTAAGTCTGACAATTTCCCACGTCAAATATTTTTTTGAGTGTTCAAATTGATTGCTTCTCCCTTGCTTAGGAAAATCACTTATCAACTTAATTTGAGGTGATAGCTGATCTGGCTTGTGTTTTGACTCTTCTATGTTATATTTATATCCTTAAATGTTCTTACTCTCAAAGTTTCTTCAAGCCTTGCAAACTTCTTGTTAGGTGCTAAGTTAACATAACTGTATGTTATGTTAACTGTGTGTGTGTGTGCTGTTTTTTTTTCTAAAGCTTTCAATCAGAGGTTGCCACTTCATACTTCACAGCTATAAAACGTTCACTAGTAGTCTTGACCCTGAGCCAGCTTTTCTGACGTGTAATTTAGCTGGCCCTTTTGATTTGAGGGAGTTAAGCCCTCTTGGTTTTTATTTTCATTTAAACTGATATTTTGGTAATTTTCTGATCATTATAATCAACTTTTTCTTAGATTATCCATAATTAACTCTTCTGTTGGAAAAACAAATATATTTTTTCCTTCCAAGTATTCAGATTACATCTAGAGTCCTTGCTTACAGTTTTGCTTGTTTGACAGTAGTTTCAGTGTTTTGTTTTTTTTTTTTCCTTTTCAAAATTTTTTTTCAAAATTTATTGGACCAAGTCTGAAGACCTTCACAGCCTGCTCCAAAGAACCTTTACCTAAACAACTTAGGATCACTCAGCTGATTTTTTTTTTCTTTTTTTGTCATCCATCCACATTAAAACAGTAGTTTTATAAAAATAATATATTTTTTTTGAATCTGGCTTTCTTCTGTTCCTTCAACCTCAAAATGCTGTGGTTAATATGCTAGTTCTACCTTATTTGAGTGGAATAAATTAGTATTTAAATCATTGTGTAGAGGGGAACTATTCAAGCCTCATTAATAAATGAAATAAAATTCTCTAGGTAACTTGCTTTGTCGGGGGGTTGGACCCAATGATCTCTTGAGGTCCCTTCCAACCCCTACAATTCTGTGATTCTATGAAAACTTAGAGTGTTGTGTTAGTAAGGTAGTACCGATGTTAATGTACTTTGTAACAGCTGTGCAATAGTTGCGTAGTTTTACTTAAAGCAAGTAATTACATTTTTTTTTTGACATTCAGTATAATATTGAGGAAGCTTGTAGGAGACTTGTACTTTAAATAAACTGTTTTAAAAATATTTTTGCAGGTTGTTATTCCAAGGAGTCCTCTTCAGGCCAAAGGACTACTGCTTTCATGCATAGAGGACAAAAATCCATGCATATTCTTTGAACCTAAAATACTTTACAGAGCTGCAGGTAAAGATTTATATTGCTGTGTTTTCCTATAAAGCAACACTTATATTTTGCACATGTATTTCCATAGTCACAGCTAAATTGATAATGTAGCAGAAATCTTGATTTGCACTTGTTTCGCCTTTAGCCGTGTTTGGGGGGTTGTGTTTTGAGAGGAAATACGAAAACCAGCTAAGATTTCTAAGTTTGAATACAAAGATGAATATTTAGTCTGATTTATATTTAATGAACTTTGGAAGTAGAATGCTTTGTACTTTCTTGTATTTAAAAAAAGGAGAAATAAAACTAAAAGGTATTATCCCATATCAAATTGAGTCGTGGAAACAGTTAAACTGCTTTTGTTTTCGTGACTCTAGATATTAAAATAAATTGCCAGATTTGATTTTATTTTTCCAAAATAGCTAAACATCATCACCATTATTACAAAGTTAGAACTTCTTTGAAGTGCTTCATTTCTAAAAGTCTAGAAAATCTGCTTCTTAACTTCTTATGTTATTTGGAAGGAAGTGTGATTGCCGTTACTTTTTTCCTTTGTTTCAGTCATGCGATCTTTTTGGTTGAATGAAGTTTTATTCACTATACGTATCGTTATGCAAAACATGTAAGAACAATTTGAAGATTATAGTGCACGTGTTTATTTTAACGGTATGTTTGTTACTTCCTTGGGACTGGAGAAGCTGTACTGACAACAGAGTGTAGAGTGAAAAAAAAATAATAATTTGCAAGTGGAGATAGGCAGTGTCTGTGTAAGCAACTAATGAAATAGAACCCAAGCCTTCATTTAATTTTGTCGTTCCTAATGTCATATAGTTCTGTATATCAACTATTCTTAAATCTTTCAGTACAATTTATAAATTAACTCTTTGAGTGGACTGAAGTTGGGTGAAAGTCCAAATGTTAAACACTTTTCCATTACTGCATACAATTTTTAGGAAATTTATCCTCTTTGTAAAGAAGAAAACCAAAGAAGAAGGGAAGGATTTAAAAAATAGGCACTAAAGCCACCAAAAAAGAACAGGGTAACTTGGGAGCAAATAAAGTATTTGCTGGGGAGACTGCTGCTTTGCTTTTATGCTTTCGAAACAGACCTTGCATTCCAGTTAGCAATGTATTTTTAAAAGTGTAACTATATTTAGAGTGACATGATGAGCCCGAAGGGCGTCACATTAAGATCAGTGTGTTTTGAAAGCTTAGAGTAATTCAGCAATAAATGCCTCTGACTCCTCATTTAGATGAAGTTGTTTGTAAAATGAACTCAAGTATTAGAGTCCAGTTAAACAAACAAACAAACAAAAAAGAATCTTCAGACATCCCTGTTGTTCTTTGGTTTTGGTATTTAGAAGTCACAATCACAGACTGCAAAGTTAAAATATTTGCTTTCGTAGTGGAATGAATGACTTGCATCAAAAACATCACAGCTATTGAGAATATAGTGAGGTTTTTATGTATGAAGGGTCGACCTATAGAACAGTTGCTGGGTCTTCTATTGAACATAAATGACTCAGGTGATTGAAATCTTGAATGAAGATGTGCTTCTAGTGGTTAATGTGGTTTACATGCTGGTCAATAACCAACCACAGCGTTGCTGCAAGATGATCTTAGCAATATCTGGAAGGTGGTGATTTTCCCCTGTATTCTCATGGCCTGTTTTTCAGAGACATTACCTATATTTTTGTCTTAAGCTTTCCAAGAACTTCAGTTTAATGATCTGGATTGAAATTTATAGTACTTTTGTGCCACCATGTGACAGTTAAAATTGTGACTAGCTTCTATTCTTTCACTTTAAGACAATTTGTGATAGTTTTCATATTTGTACAATATAAATCAGGGTTACTGTATTATGTGGAAGGGTTCTGATGTTGTGTCCCTTCCCTCCTGCCCCCTTCTACCCTTACTCCCAAACCTTTCCTTCTGGCATCATCAATTCATTGTCCTGGTTGTTCAGCTGTTGTTGTAGGTTTGATCAGCATGAACCAGAATTTGTCCTAGATAATTAACCTCTTGGAGTATTCCTTTCTGTGCTGCTGGCCATGGTCAGGGTTTCTTGTAATTTCACTACAGAAATGAAGTGGCCTGGTTAATTCAAAATGGACCTGGGTTTTCTTGATTATTTGGTCCAGATGCAGCAGCAGTAAAACACAAGCCTGATAAACAAGAACAGGATAAACGGTGGAAGGAAGGATTTTAAAAATGCAACTGTCTTGTGTTTTGAGTAGAAATATTTTTTTTCCATATGACTGTGTTCTTTCTAGTTAGAGAAAGAAGATGGTACGGATTCAGAAATGTGTTCACAGAGTAAGCTTGAGCTACCTGTGTATTTCTTGTCTCTTTCTATTATTGTCTTAAAATTTTATATTTTTCTATTATTTTCTAAATTTTCTAAATTCTCCATGTTTCTATTATTGTTTCAAAATACTGCAGGGTCTTCCCAAAGTTGGGAACATACAAGCATTCCTAAGCAAGGAAGACAAAAATATGTAAGATGTGCTCTGCTGCTTTATTAATCTTTTTTTTTTTTTTTTTTTTTTGAAGTTACTGACTTTACTTAAACTTCCACTTTATTAGTATACTTTCAGCAGAAAGACAGGGTATAAATAGTATAATATGCCCCACTCAAGACTGGGACTTTATTGTTTCAGTAACTAGAGACTATCATATACAGATAAAAATTGTTTTATTTCCATAATGATGGTTAAGATATTGAATAATGAAATATTTTTTTCTAGCTTCCTGTGAGTAGACATACTTGCTGCAGAGGACTTCATGACCAATGTTACATTGGGTTTGTAGGGATTGCGTTAGAAAGAAATAGGGTGTCAGGGGATAATGTGAAGTAGTAGTTGCTACCTGTACAATTAATGCAGATATTTAAGCTTTATCATTCTACTCTAATGGATTTTTTTCTCTTCCTATGAGGCCTCTAAATAGCTATAGATGATATTTTGCTTAATATCTTTGACATTTCAGCTGAAAATAGGCTGTAAGGTTGGGTAGTCTTTGAAACACAAGGTACCTATTCTTGTTCACATCTGTGGAAGTTGCTAATGATTTGTTTAAAAATAAATCAACAAAGCAAAACCATACTATTTGCTTCTGCCCCCAAGTGTTGCTGCTGTTGTTGAAATTTGCTGTTGGATACTAGTGCTGGAAGATATGAATACATATCTAGCTTAGGATGTGTAAAATGAAGTTGCTTTCTGAGCAGTGTGCCAGGTCATTTGGTGTCTTACAGAAGTTCTTGTGCAGAATCAAGCTTGTGATATTGCATTTGATGCATACTTGATCCAGTGATCTATAACAACTGCCCACCAATTGTTGTCAAACTGTATTTTCAGGTCCACTTATAATGTATGGTTTGGGGGTTGTGGATAACAGTTTTTTTTTTTTTTTTCCCTCGATGTTCAAGTGTATATTTTTATAACAGTAAAGATGTTCTACAAAAATAAATACTCTTTAGGTGTTATGAAACATATGTCTCATCTCCAAGGTAAAGCAGAGTTGTAGCACAAAATATTTCACTGCGAGTATCACATGGATGTTGTGAATGAATATTATCAAAGACACTTCAAAACATTTTTTGGAATAATGAACTTAACTGGATGTCTTCCTAAATGAACACAGATTTTTTTGTTCAGATATTTTGTGTGCTTATTCAGACATGAGGTAAAACTAATCATGTTTACAAAATAACCATTCATTCCTATATGAGTATTTTTTTATCCAAACATGGCTTTGCCCACAGGAGATACAAGAATAGGCCTGAAGTCTTCAACTTAATCAACCCTGGGAGAAAGGTAGATGCCAAAGCAGTGTTGCAGTAGGGTCACCACATTGCAACTGTAATGAACCAAGGGGAAAAGGCAATTTTCAATGTGAAGAACAACTTTGTAAGAACGCCATGAAAACATTTTCCAGTGCATTTGAAAAGTGACATGTTAACTTACACTTTTGATATCCAAGAGCTCTAGTAACACAAAGAGGAAGGAGCAGGATGAAGTTAAAGCTAAGATCTTAAACTTTGGTTGGTGTTAATAGTGAGTGTAAGAAGTTACAGATGAGAACTGTAGTTTCGTTTGAATGAAATACAGTTGATGCATTACATGTGCTGCATTAGCACCGTGCAACTACTCTGAATAAGTTCCTACATATATATACACACACAAACACACATTTTCTATGTGTGCATATGTGTGTGTTTGTATAACAAATGTATGAAAAACAACATAAAGCAATAACTGAGTCTAAAGGCTCTAACCATGGATAGTCCAAGAAAAGCATGTGTTATGGCCAAGTACGTGCACTTCATCTTCATGTTCCAAGCATCTGAGAAGCAGCAGTACCAGCAGCTGAGGGCTAAATGTTGGTCCTAAGTTTAAGCAACCTTAGGTCTGAAATTGAAAATCCTTCTAAGAAAATCTCAGAAGCTCTTTTGTGAATGCTTACTTAGGAGCTGCTGTGTACTTGTAGGTTTGTTTTATTCGCTCTGGGCCCTGTAAAATACCTGTTACTGCCACTCCAGTTACTGTTACTGATCTCGCTTGCTCCCTTGCTGCTGTCCCCCTTCCAGTACTTGATTTTGGGGGGACACACCATTCCCACCCCAGTAGCTGGGGCCAAGACCCCCACTTGCTCCAGTAGCTGACCCTGTGGAGCAGGGGCACCTGCAGCTCCTGTCTGGCTCCTGTCCCTGGCCCAGCGTCTTGCCTGCTCACCCTCGTCTCTCTGGTCTTGATGCTGAATCCCTGCAGTACCCATGCTGGGTGGAGAGTGAGGTTGCACAGATGTTTAAGAAAGGCTTTAACAAGATAGGACAGACTGGTGCTCAGTTTTACATGTATCTGGCCCCTGTCACATTCCCTTCTGTTTAGTCCCCCCTTGTTCTTCCCCAGTCCCCTTCCCTTGCACATTCCCTCCCCGGCAGGCAGGGTTCCACCCACCCTGCTCCAATGTCCTGCACCTTCAGGCTTTCAAGCTCCCAGTGTGTTTGTAGTTTCTTGGTAGCCCATCAGTTGGTGTGGCTGACCACCTTGGTTTCTGATCTGTTAATATTTGTGTCTCTGTATATTTTGCTTATGGCTTCCCCCATTTTCGTATCTTTCTATTGGACAGGGTCCTCCATCAGATACCCTTACAGAAATAAACATCGCCCCATTCCCCATAGCCTTATCAGTAAATGGCTGGGCAGCCTTGGTTCCTGTGGCTGCCTCCCTTATCCTTCGTTGGCCAGATTTATGTCTGTGGACGTTCACACTTAGAACAAAAAAAGTGGGAGAAGCCATGCCCTTTTGCATTGGAAAGGTACACATCTTAAAGGGTGTCCTTCCACGTATCATTACAGCAGTCATCAGAAGCTTTTGCGTATATTCATGTGCCTTGTATAAAATTAGAAAGCAGCAAGGAGATGCAAGCCTTTCTGAGAAAAAGTCCAGAGTTAAGTACAAAAGTACACACACCGAGAGAATTCTGTTGCTGGTTAACTTACGAGATTATAATGTTACTGGAAGTGCCATGGTGACGTCCCCCTAAATGTCAGAGATGCAAAGAAAATACCTGAATTAAAAAAAGAAAAAGGAGGCTTTGATTTATAAAAAGTAGTTAACAACCTGTGCAGTGTCAAGAGCACATAATCATTACGAACCAAAGGAGAAGATGAGTCACCTTGACATTATCAGGTTTAGACATCTTGTGGAGAACCTACTCTGATGTTTTTTGACCTTTTCAGTTTCATTTAATTGTACTATATATGACATTGGTGGTGTAGAAATAAATATGACTCGCATCGGTGGTTGTTATAGAGACAAGACAGGTAAGATGAGAGAACACATGTTTTCCTTATGCTGTTCAGACTGCTCTTTTAGAAGGAGCAACAGATGGTGCAGCCTCTTAAAATTAACTAGCGATGGCCCTCTTTCTCTGATTACAACTTTGTTATTTGCTTTATTTGAAATCTGCTTTTTAAATATTTGATTTAAAATATTTTTATGCTCAATAATAGATGAGTAGGCTGCTTTGTATACAGACATCATTGTGTTTTGGTTAATTAGTAGGGAAGAAAATGCACAGAATATTTTCAGTGCTATTTTTCCTCACTGTTAGTGGAGGGAGGTGTTTTGTAAAGGCATGAGCTGAGCTCATTGAAAGGATTTTATTTTATTTTTTCAGAATGGTTTAGCTATAATAATAATTTAATTTTTGTAATTGTATGTTACATTTAATTTCCCTAAATGGATAAAACTATTACACAGAGAAGGAGCTCTTTTTGTATGACTTGCACATTCCAGGTCTTCCACTGGTGCATCCGACTCCCTTCCAAACCTTCATATTCATGTCAGTTGCCTGGGTTTCCACCTGAAGGTCCTGTGGTATCTTTATAGGGTTCTTGTTCTCCAGGTTTCGTGACAATCCCATGACAAAGACAATTATGTTATGCAAATTGGTTTCATTCAAAATCTTGCCTGTTTTTTTTGCCTGAGGGTTTTATGCCATGCAAAATCTGGAGCAGCCTCGTCTGCTTTGCTGTTGACCAGTGATGTGCAGTGAGTAAGGGCTGGCTGTGCCTTTCCCATCTGTCTTTCCCCACCACGGATTCTTCTCCCCATTTGTTATTCAAAGGAATTGTTCTAGGAAGGCACAGATCATTTAATACGTTCAGAATAATTGTCAACAAATACGTATGATTTCTGTGCTATGTTAAAGAACACAACAATTTGATATTTTTTTTCTTTCCTCGGCTGAATGGAAACATTACGAATTACATGGAAGAAGGTTCCTATTCTGTTATTAGTAATAATGGTTTAATTAATATCTATGCCTGCTCTCTGCCTGTTCAGGTAAAGTGAGATATCTCTAATGTAAGCATAAGAAAAAACCTGTTTTACTCAGTGTAAAACATAGGAACAGGTTGCCAAGAGAGGTTGTGGAGCCTTCTAACCATGGAAATACTGTAAATCTGACTGGTCATGGCCCTGAGCAACTGGTTCTTGGTGACCTTGCTGTGAGCAGAGAGCTTAGCCTAAGTGAACCCCAGAACTTGCTTCCTACCTCAACCATCCTGTGATTCTGTGATATTATGTGATATAGTGCTTGTTTGCCATCTCTGGAGAAAAAATAATAAATGCTGTAATTGTAATTTAGAAAACTATTCACCACTTGATTTATTACAAACTTATGTCCTAATATGTAAGCCAGGAAAGAACTGAAGTCATTTTACTTGTATTGGATCTGCTGTATAGCAGAATTTTCCCAATTAGGGAATGCAAGATGCTTAATTTTTCCTGCTGGAGTCACTCAGTAGGATTCTTTATCATAACTTCAAGAAGCAAATTAGGTCATCATTGATTCTAAATACTAAAAACTGACCTAAGATATTTCCATCTGACAACTATTAAATGGATCTTAAGTTGAGTGGAACCACCTTCAGTAGTGGTCAGAAAAAGAATGATGCCTAGTTTTTTTTCTAGTTACTCTAATTGTGATACATTTTTGTCAACTAATAACATTTTTTTTTCCAAACAATATTTGAGTTAAAACTGCTATAATCACAAGTTCCCGGTGGCAGTCTTTGTGTAGGTTCTGAAAATTGCTTTTCCTACCACTTTAGCGTGAAACTGTGGAGCATCATTCTTGGTAAATATCAGGAGAGCACTGACAAATTTTTTTTCCTGTCTGAGTATTAAAGTATGATTTCAAGGCTCTGATGCTTGTTTCACTGCATCAACTGCAGTCCGTGCTTGGGATTTTAATCAATGATAGCAGTCTCCATCTACAAATCTGATGCTAATATCTTTGACTTAGGAAACAGCAGGATTTATTACTACAGTAGTGTATGTGTGTATCTTTTTGGTATACTTCACAAGAGAAATGAAACGTTGCACTGAATGCTTTCAGTGTACGGTATAAATAAAAATATTTTTAATTACAGCTAAACATTTGAAATAAGGGATAATAAGGTGATTTTGGTTTACTGTTTTAAATTGTATTGCTATTTAAAAAAATAGTGCATGTTTCTATGGCATAATACTGAATAATAAAGGAATCTAATGCTTATTTTTTTCCCTTTGCTTTTATTTATTCAGTGGAACAAGTTCCTGTGGAGCCCTACAACATTCCACTGTCTCAAGCTGAGGTGCTGCAGCAGGGCAGTGATGTGACAATGGTTGCTTGGGGCACTCAGGTCAGTAAGGTTCTTTAAGTTATTTGTCATCCACCAAAGGTTAGGTTAAGGGTTAGGAGCTGTTTAAACAGTGTTGTATTGGACTCAAGTGCCAGACAATAAACTATGTGCATCTTCCATTGCTATATGCTTGAATAAATGATTCCCTTTGTTTCTACTTACATGAAACCTGCTTTTTAATGAGTGAGTTTTTACCCATTTTTGGTTGAAGGTGACTCTGGAAATATGGAAGAGTTACCTCCTCTACTGCAGGTTAATGATTTATCTACAATTATGCAAGTTACATGTTTAAGAATGTGGCAGTGGGATATGACTGAGGAAAGGAAAGGACAGTTGAAAGTAGTATGCTGGAAGAAAAGCATGGATTTTTACTGCAAGATTTAAAAAGTAGTGCAATCAGTCTGGGGTTGCCTTCATGCAGACAGTTAAAAAGAAAACCTGAAAATTTAGGTAATTTCGAATTTTTAATACTAATAGGGGTAGTTTTGATTTTGACAGTTCGTTTTCAAAGCTGCTCAAGAATATGGTTCACCTCCCCCTGCTCCAATTAAGATGTGCAAATACAGAAAAAAACGTTTAAAAAAGAGAGAAAAGAAAAAGGCAAAACAAACAACAAAAACAACAAAACAACAAAATACACATTCTTGTTCAAGAATTGTATAAAACAAATTTTAGTCAACATTGGAATTACCAGAAAAATCTTTTTATTGTCTTTAACCTGTAATTTAGAAAATGGCTATTTTCCTGGCTTATTTATGTCTGGGAAGCTGTTAGAGGAGAGAGTGTTGTAACACTATATATCACCATAGTGTTAATCTGTGGGGTTGTCTTTTTGATTTTTGCTCTTTCTTTGTAATCTTTACTTGTGTTTATTTCTCTAGCAGAAACTGGTTTCTACTTTTATCCTTGCTCTCTTTTTGAAAGTACATGTTCATTTTTCCTAGATACTTCATGCTCCATTTGGATGAAATCTTAGTGTTTGTCATAGTCCCCAAAACTGTAATGATAAATAACCATAAAGATGTTACGCTTTGAAGGTCACTTAAGTAATGGCTTGAAAGCTATCTATAGATATTAATGTCCTGAGTTTACCCAGTAGAATGGAGAAGGCTCAGAATGACGTACTTTCAAAATACAATGTGCTTTGGAGCTTGCAAAGTATAAGCCAAGTACTAAGACAGGCAGTTCTTTTGATGTGAATAGTAGTAGGACAGATGTACAGCCCTAATCCAAATTTAGGATCTGATCAAACCATGTCTGTGGCCAAATAATGCAGCATGGGGGAATGCTACTTAGTGCTCCTGCCTCTATTCAGGAGTTGTTGGGCAGAAGTATGAGCATGTACATTCATCACATGGAAGGTGCGTACTGTGCTGGTTTACACAACTGTTGAGCATACCTCTATACAGATGCTTATCCCATAAACAGAAAATCCAGCATGTTTTGGACGTGTCAGACTTCTGCAGATCAAATATATTCAGTAAGTTTGTGCTGAGGGTGTTTGTAGGCTCTGTGCATAAACTTGGAACTCGATTACCGCATATGCAGTAGGTCCAACAAATCCAGAGTTCATTTTCAATAAGCAGAGAGTGATTGCACGCACACAGTGGTTACTTATATGATTCTTGCATGCTAAGTGTAGTTGCTTGGCAGCTGCTGCTCTGGCGGGGTTACCTTATGCTCGCTTTCCTGAGCGGTACTAATGGAGGGCAGTAAAGGCTTTTAGTTCATCTCCTGTTGTGCCCTGTGTTTTACGGTCATTAACTAATCCTTATCCCCTGTGAACTAGATAAACATTTTCGTTTATGTATCGTAGAAACGGCAAAAACATCCTTCCCATGGGTCAGGTTGAAAAATCTCAAACCTTGTATAGCAACTGATGTATTACAAGTCTAAACCAAAACAATGCAAGCTAATTATTTTTACTGTTATAATACTTGTATTGTGATTTATCTTTAAAATCATAGCATCATTAAAGTTGGAAAAGACCTCCAAGATCATCGGGTCCAGCCATCCCCCAACCACCAATACTACCCACTAAACCGTGTCCCTAAGTGCCCCAAATAGTCCTTTGGTGTTCATATTTGTTTCATGTAGATTGATGTTTAAATCCTTAATCAGCTTGTTTTACAATAGATTTTTATTCCATGTGAAATGTAATGCTGCTCTTTGATCCCCAGGCAGCTGACACCATCTCACCATGTCCATATTGTTAAATGCTGTTGCCTTCCGACCAAGGTGACCTCATCCAAACTGCTCATCAGAGATGGTCCTTGGACTCTCACCACTGAACTGGGCCTAGCGATTGCTTGAGGGAGCTCAGCTGTCTCAGTCTAAACCTGTGTTAGGAAGTGTCCAAACCCTCTGACAATAAGGACAATATCAGAATCTATCGATAATGTCATATCAGGAAACCGTTTTAGCCTCTTTTGAGAAAATACTTCTCAATTAGATATTTCTGGAGAATAATCTGAGCTGTTATAAGGGTCTATGCTTATATTTAGAGTTGGAGCATTTGCTCGCTAGTGCTTGTTTCAATGCTTACAACTCCTTTTGCTTTTTAAAAAGAAAGTTGTATAACATCATATTATACAACAATTTTGAATGCATACAGTATTGCTTGCTTTTTTGTTCATGTTATAACATACTTTATGAGAAGGTTCTAATAGACACGGGCTGTTTTACATGTTTTAAGAAGCTCATACATGTGCTGCTAAATAGACCCCTTGGCTGGTGGATAGTGAATGATGTGTATTCTAATTCAGTGCAAACCTTCTGCTAGAAGGGAATCCTTTTCTGTTGTATTAAAATGTTAATTATAATAATTAGATAATGCAACGTTTGGAATGTTGGTATTAAATTGCATTGGAAGACCAGTGAGTGGTCATATGGTCATATTAGTGCCAGTACGCTTTGTCTGTAGGGGGTCAGGACTAGGTATTTATGTGGTATTTGCTATCTTTCCTACCTGTTCATAAGATAATGCTAAAACATCAGTAGATTGTAGTAAATGCAGTTACTAGGACTATTTTTGTATGTAATGCATTTTGCAGGATTTCATGTGATTGCTCTGTGTTAAAATACATCATTCTGATATTTGGATTTTGTAGTTGTTGTTCTCAGAAAAGCTGAGACAAAAAAACCAATCAGACTATAACTATAAAATTGTAAGATCCAATACTGCTAACTGAAATACTTCTCTAGAAAGTAACAGTTTTGTTTTCAGTGATCCTTCATTGAAGTTTTTTTTTTTTAAGTAGTGCTAAACTACTGCAAATAAGTAGTAAGTTAGTATATTGAACTGAGTAATAAATACTTACTGTATTACTAAATAAAAAGTTTTCTGGTAAACATGAAGGTAATATGTTAAATCACTGTGTATATTCCGTATGTGTTAATTTAGAACATCTTAAAAAGAACTTAAATGTTAGCTTGGTGATAATAGGTTGCTTTTTCAGGTACATGTGATCAAAGAAGTGGCAGCAATGGCTCAAGAAAAGCTTGGCGTGTCCTGTGAAGTTATTGATCTGAGGACCATCTTACCCTGGGATACAGAGACTGTTTGCAAGGTAAGAAAATGATGAATGTTAAAAAACAAAACAAAAACCTCCTGGTAACAACAACTGAAATGCAAATAATTATGACGTTGTATTTTAAGGTTTTTTTTTTTTAATGATCTAAATTTTTGTATTGATTTATGTAAGTTTGATCTGCAGTTGAATTGTTTTCATTGTTTGTTTCTGATGTACATCATGTTACTTGGATGTACTTTCTATCTGTAAAGAATGAAATGCGTTGAGCTGTAGCCATCAATATGAAGATATGAATCAATATGAACTTTGGCAGCAACTGGTAATTTTTTGCACTATTTCGATTATTTCTTCTAAATCCTTTATAAGCACTTCTGGACAACTAAAATTAATCAAAATTTTAGGTATTTTTTTCCCCCTTCTTTAAAGATTAGAGCTGTCATGCAATGAAGACAAAGTATCTCTCTGAAAGAACAGTTAAGTCTGTTTCATTGGATTGGATCTGCATTGAAATGCAAGGAGGAAAGAAATGCAGCTGTGCACAGGAAATGCGGAGCTGTATTTGTACAATATTTTGCAAATATGAACTTTAAAAATAGGTATCCTCTGAAGATTTTGAGCATGTTTTCTATCCTGAACATCTTTGAAAGCAATTGTGGTATAAATAAAAAGATGGAGCAGGTAGACCTGTTGCTTTAGATCTATTATTATTATTAATAATAATATTTTTAATTAGGAATTAAAAGAGAAGTATTTCTAGAGAAGTATAGTGAACATTGGCTATGCAGTTCATATATTTATTTTAATAAATGCCAAATAGTAAATGTTTTTAGTGTTGCTTTGACATTAGTATGTATGCAGGCTGCCCAGTCTGGTCGGAGAAATGGTAAATTATCTTTTTCTGTAGAACTTGTCTGTTTTGTTGAGCTGGAAATAATCAGTAGTTTGCAGTTGGTACTATGCAACATTTGTATCCTAAGCAGTTTTTAAGGTAGGTTAAAGACAACAAAAGTGTTTTTACAAATATATTAACATTAAGAGAAGGACCAAGGAGAATCTCTGTCCTTTACTGGAGGCAGTGAACATGACTACTAAGGATAAAGATAAGGCTGAGATTCTCAGTGCCTTATTTACATCAGTCTTTAATAGTCGGACCAACACCGTGGGGTACTCACCCTCCCTACCTTGAAGTCTCGGATGGGGAGCAGAAGAAACCCCCCACAATTCAGGTGGAAACAGACCTGCTGCCCCACCATGGGGCCAGATGGGATCTACCTGAGGGTGCTGAGGGAGCTGGCAGATGTGATTGCTGGGCCACTTTCCATCATCTATCAGTGGTCATGGTAATCCAGAGAGGTCTCAGATGACTGGAGACTTGCTAATGTGACACCCATCTGTAAGAAGGGTTGTAAGGAGGAACCAGGGAGCTACAGGCCTGTCAGCCTGACCTTGGTGCCAGAAAAGGTGGTAGAACAGGTCATCTTGAAAGCAGTCACGCAGCATTTGTTGGGGCACCCTGGGGATCAGGCCCAGTTAGCCTGGGTTCATGAAAGACAAGTCCTGCCTGACCAACCTCACCTCCTTCTATGAATGGGTGACCCGCCTAGTGGATGAGAGAAAGGCTGTTGACGTAGTCTACCTAGACTTCATCAATGCCTTTGACACAGTCTTCCACAGGATTCTCCTGGAGAAGCTGGCAGCCCATGGCTTGTACAGGCACACTCTTTGCTGGGTTAAAAACTGGCTGGACGGCCAGGCCCAGAGAGTGGTGGTGAACCGAGTGAAATCCAGCTGATGACTGTTCACCAGTGATGTTCCCCAGGGGTCGGTGTTGGGGCCCATCCTCTTTAATATCTTTATTGATGATTTGGATGAGGGAATTGAGTGCACCCTCACTAAGTGTGCAGATAACACCAAGCTGGGGGAAAGTGTTGATCTGCTGGAAGGTACGAAGGCCCTGCAGAGGGACCTGGACATGTTGGGTTGATGGGCAGAGGCCAACGGGATGAGGTTCAACATGGCTAAGTGCCAGGACCTGCACTTTGGCCACAACAACCCCATGCAGTGCTACAGGCTTGGGGGAGAGTGGCTCGAAAGCTGTGTAGAGGAAAAGGATCTGTGGATGCTGGTCGATGCTCACCTGAACATGAGCCAGCAGTGTGCCCAGGTGGCCAGGGAGGCCAATGGGAACCATGGATTGTATCAGGAATAGTGTGGCCAGCAGGACCAGGGAGGTGGTCCCTCTGTACTCTGCTCTGGTGAGGCCGCACCTTGAGTATGGTGTTCAGTTTTGGGCCCCTCATTACAAGAAGGACATCGAGGCCCTGGAGTATGCCCAGAGAAGGGCTATGAAGCTGGTAAAGGGTCTGGAGCACAAGTCCTATGAGGAATGGCTGAGGGAACTGGGGTTGTTCAGTCTGGAGAAGAGGAGGCTCAGGGGAGACCTTATTGCTCTCTACAGCTACCTAAAAGGAAGGTGTGGGGAGCTGGGGGTCAGCCTCTTCTCGCAGGTAACTAGTGATAGGACTAAAGGGAATGTCATCAAGTTGTGCCCAGGGAGGTTCAGGTTGGAAATGAGGAGACATTTCTTCTCAGAAAGAGCAGTCAGGCATTGGAAAGGGTTGCCCAGGGAGGTGGTGCAGTCACCGTCCCTCGGGGTGTTTAAGGAAAGGTTGTGTGTGCTGCTTAAGAACATGTTTTGGTGGGTGATACTGGTGGCAGGTGGGTGGTTAGATCAGATGATCTTGGAGGTCTTTTCCAGCCTTAATGGTTCTATGATTATATAATCTCTAACATAAATAGAAAGGTGGAAATGATAGTTGTAGCTTCTTGCTGTAACCTCAGGCCAAGAGGAACTTCTTGATGAAGTTGGTGAAAATGGCAGTGGCTTTCAGAATCAGTTTCAGCAACAGGACTTGCTGTACTTCACTTATTCTCTTCCTGAGTTTCCATCATCAGGGACCAAGAAAGTGTGATAGAAAAGGTGACCATACCAGAGAGTCTTTGGCTGTCCATGGGTCTGTGTGTGGGCATTTAATAGGTAATGGGATCGGTCTTACAGCAGTCCCAACCAATAAGAAAATTATCTGTTGTGACAGGGCAGCACTTTGCCTCAGTCTTACTTACGTCAGCCTTTGTAATCTTAGTCAGTTTTGATGTTTTTCATTACATTACATGTGTTTGTTATGTCTTTCCTTTGCATCTGACAGGAGAAGGAGATAAGGGTGGTGGATGTGATACAAGCTGCAGCCTTTCTGCTGTTCTGCTGGTGCTGGGATGCAGGGTCTTCCGTCGATGAGTGGTCTGTGCTGTGGTCTTATCAGAGAGCAGGAAGAACTTTGTGCTTTACTCACACATCCCTCTGTTTGACTGCAGGGAGTGGTGTCCTTTGTTCTCAGTACAGGCTGTTTTTAGTTCTGCTGCTGCTTTCAATTCCTGTGCACATACACTTCCACTCACATTTCGTTCATACTGACCTTAACATTTCCGTTCCAGTTCTTTACATTATCACGATTCTTCTGTCTGTTGGCTCTTTCTAGAAGGCAGGAAGCCTTATCTGACTTCTTGTGGGCTATCTTCTTGTTCCTAATCATATGCCAGAAGTTTGGCACGGACTTTTAAAGGACTAGTGTTGCCTGTGGGTTAAAGTCATTAAGCTGTAATAAAGGAACTGAATTTTATCAAGTTGTATACATTTGCCTATCTGATATGTTTTAATCTACAGGTTTATTTTATTCTTATACTTACCCAAGAAATATTACATTTTTATAAGGAAATATTTCACTGAATTTTACTTATCTGTGTAATTTTTTTAAGAAAATCCAGGTGCCTTCATGATTGATCTCAGGGAATAAGCAGGCCTGAACCTTAATTTACTAATTTTTACTATCTGCAGTATTGAGATAACTGTAACACTGAAATTTGCAACGTTGCTGTTTAAAAATGAACTACTTTACATAACTGAAAATATATGCAACATTAAGACTGATTTGACAAGGGTGGTATAGGCATGAAGATGAATGGACTTGACATAGTTACTGCTTGGGAGATGAGCAGTAATGTGTCAATTTTCACTGCAAATATAACTGCCTAGTCTGCTTTCTATAGATACTTTTAAATATATAAAGTTGTCATCAAAATACATATTCCATAAAACTTTGAGAAGTTATACTTAGCTACTGCCACCAGAGGCCTCTTTTTAGCCAAGTTAAGCAGCTGCTTTGACTTTGTACTGCTCCTGTCAGCGTGTTTATGAGCGTATGGCTGAGTGAGACGTAAATAAAATAAATGTGTATAATAAATATGGTGAAACATAAGAATTTGTGAAGAATTTTTCAAGATTCTGATATTATGTTCAGCTTTGAAATAGGTTAACATTTGTCATCTGCACGAGGAGGAGATAAGGGTATTAAAGTTTGAGCTAGTGACACTAGCTCATGAGTTATTCTAGAGGATGGATATCTCCTGAGGGTCATTCATCTCAGCTGTTTTTTCAGCCTGTTTGTGGGTTGAAATAGTGGTCTCTAGAAATGTCTTGGGTTAAAAAAATAAAAAAAAAAAAAATTAGTGAGTGTAGTGTAAAGTCAAGTGAGATAGATCCCACTATCATTGTTTAGCTGGGTGACAAAGGAATCAGGGAGTTGCCCTGTTTAAAATTATCAGACATCTCTTTGCTAGAACAGGAACAAAGAATCTGTGTGAGTGTGTGTCTATGTATATATGCATATAGATTCAATTTCTTTATGTAGGCTTCATTGCTGTTTAACTTGGGAAAGCTTCTTGTGAAATGTGAGGTGCTTCTTTACTTGTAGGATAAGGATGGAGTTCCTTGCCCCTGAAAATTTATCAAGCCTGTTCCAAGATTCCCTAGCATTCTTAAAGAATGGCATACTTACTCTGGATCAAGAGGAGTAATTGATTTACATGTTGAAAACTAAAAAAGAGATGCAGGAAATAATTCTAAGTCTCTTGAGTTACTCAACTCTGTTGCTTTTCACAGGAGTTCAAACAGGTAAAAAAGAAAAATCAAACTGCATAAA